GATGATGATGCTGACGATGATGATGGTGACGACGACGACGACGATCATGATGATTACGATGGCGGTGGTTGGTGATGGTGGTGGTGGTGATCGTGATGATGGTGGTGGTCCTGGTGTGGGTGATGATCATGATAATCCGTCGTGAGACAGGTAAGTATTAAAGTAACCCTATGATGACGGCTCGTCATAATGTTATGCGTATACGCGAACACTTTCCGTGTCTTAGCGAACTATTCGTTCAATACACGAACCGCCGGAGACGCATATCTGCAGTCGTACATATGTATAGACGAAGCACGAGCGGTGCTAGTCGAATCTCACAATACGACAAATTTTCAAGTCTCATGTGTTTTGTTAGATTAGATGTTTTGTGGTGTTGTGCGATTGATATATTATAAATATAAATATAAAATATGATATTTATTTATAATATTTATTATATTATATATTTATATATTATGATCGTCGTTGTTGAACTGTGTCGAACGACGTCTCCGTTTATTGAAGCGGTAAGACGTATTTGAGCGTTCGTTTAATTAACGCGGTACACGTTCGGTGAGCGAGTTGACTTCGCGTCCATCGTTAACGTCCGTTAAATTATGCTCGTCGCCGTGGTGCGTTTTTTATAATCGTATTCGCGGGACGGTATTTTATTTTAAAAAATGGATATGATCTCTCTAACACCGGGCGATATATGTCGTTTGTGTTATTCACGAAAATAATATCAAATGTGTTAAATGATTATTAACATAGTGAAGTATTCACACAGTTGTCTCGTTGTTGAACGTTCTATGAATTGGGCGCACTTGAACGTCGTCCGCAGTAGGTCTGGGTTAATACGTGCGAGTGACGTGAGATACCCGATCTCGCCCGTGACCAGACTGAATAAGAATTCATATATTCTCTCATACGGCACCGGTGCGTTTTAGCGTTAAAACGCTTGCGCGTCGCGTTGCACGTGTGGTCTCGGAGTGTATAGTGACAACGAGACTCAAGTTCTCTCTGTCAGCTCCCTGGTTGATCCTGCCAGTAGTTATATGCTTGTCTCAAAGATTAAGCCATGCATGTCTCAGTGCAAGCCGTATTAAGGCGATACCGCGAATGGCTCAAT